GCGCACGCGGGCAGCGGACAGCCCAGACGCGCCGCGGCTGTCCCGCTGCCGGCGTCCTCAGAGGCTTTGCTTCCCGTCTCCCTGGTCTGCTGGTCTCCAGCAGACCAGGGAGACGGGCAGCAAACCCCGTTCGTAACTGCGGATCCGACTTACGTCGGATCCGCATAACTCGGGGACTGCCTGTATTAGCGAATATCCTTGGGCTACATAGTAACAGTAAGAAGTCCAAGAATACTAACAAAAATTGCACCACATCAAATAAACAGAACGATCCTTCCATGAATATGTAGTAGTTTTGTAGATCTTGAGAAGGGCTCAGAACATGTTGTCGCTACTTTGGAAAAAAAAAAAAGTACTAGAATGGTCCACTGGAAGGTAATGTGGTTGGACCCTACCTCCTCAGATCTGACCTCAGTTGAATAAGCTAACCATTTATAGTCCCCCCCTTCCAACTCAGACTTTTATCAAATTTTAAAAATTGAGTTGTTGCCCATCCCTGTTAATTCATATCTGTCATGTATGTGCTGTCTGGAGCAAGTCACAGCACCCTCCTGCCTCAGTTTCCTTATCTGAGAAACAAAGGTAAGAATTACTTATCTGCGTCAGAGGTCCATTGTGGAGATGCCAATATTTGTGCAGTCTTTCACATCTGTAAGGCACTATGTGATGAAATGCCAATCAGTCTCAATGAAAACTACTGGCAGTGACCTCATTCATAGGAGCTGGATCAGGCGCTCTATAAATGTAATAAGTATTGTGGACAGTTAAACTAGTGAGATCTGAAATAAGGATTATGGAAAAATTGACAAAAAATATCAAAATCTTGAATTTTAGAATCACAAAAATTTCAATTTTCTTTCTGACAAATGATTTTATTTAGCATATTTTTATTTTAAAGAGATTTTTTTTTTGGCTAAAGAAAGGCTACTAAATTTTGTAGGACACTGGAATGTACGAGGGAACAAATTCTGTTCTCAGTCACCTGAGTGTAATTCTAGAGTTACCCCACTTATTTCATGGAGTTACTCTGGATTTAGACTGGACTACTCTAGTTGAGAACAGGAGTTAGCCTGGTGGTTTTGAAAAATATGCTGAATATTAAAAAGGGATTTTCAAATTCATTTTTAAGCGATGAAAATGTTTTTTGGACCAATTGCCAAGTTTACAAATAGGAACACACATTCCACATACGGATACACTTTAGTAATCATCATTACAAACTTTATAGTACTGCAGATGTCTCCAATAAATAACCCATTCACAAACAATATATTATCATAAAAAAAGTTTTTCATATACAGCCCTGCAAACCCCAGCCTTCACTTTCAGCCACAGCTTTCTGATTAATCATTACCTCAGTGCTCATTTTTCATGGTTCAGTAATAAATAGAGAGGAAAATGATTGAAATAATTAATATTGCATCTGACAATAAGCAAGGCTGAAAAAATTGGCCAGTGACAGCTGAAGACAGCATGCCCACTGGAAGTTGAAAAAAAGTAATGAAATCTGATGTCTTTTTTTGAAAAAAAGTGAAGTCTACATAACAAAACTGTATGAATGGGAAGTCTCACATGCCATTTCCTTTGTGTAAATAGTAAACAGCTGCAGCAAAATGGTTTACTCCTTGAAAGACAATTATTGTTAGCTCAAGGTTAAGAGTCCTGCAGAAGGCTAGTCTAGCTACTGGAAAACTGTGAAATATCATCTTCCAGGCATCTGCTGACACATAGTCAAGGACTTGAGTTATGGGATACTGACAAAGTAGGCTATAGAGCTTAAGAGATAAAATGTGACTAATAGCAATTTTTTGGGGTGGGGTGGAGAGAGTAGTTATTGTGTTGATTATCGTTTTCAACTCAGAAAAACACATCTTTTTGGGTCCTGATTCCCTAGCTTTTGCTCACTCCAAGACCTAATAACTTCAATTCACTACGCACATACATATGTGTTACTTATATGCAGAATGGTGCAAGGCAAGGTTCTATGTATGTGGTGTGTTTCATCTAGCCAGGGTATAGGAAAATACTGCACTCATTAGTGACTTAAACCTGCATTTCTTGTGCACCCCAAACTCCCTATAAATTAATGGGAAGGCACAATCCAACTTAGTGTATTTTTTTTTGGATGACAGGAGAGGGATCATGTGATGATTCCCTGTTGCGTTCCCTCCCTATGGGGCATCTGGTATTGGCCACTGCTGGAAGACAGGATACTGGGCTAGATGGACCTTTGTCTGACCAAGTATGGCTGTTCTTATGTTCTTAGTTAAATTTAAACTTAATGTAATTCCACAAGTGAACAGATAAAAACAAAAGTTAAAGAAAAATCTCCAGATCCCCCCAGTATAATTACATTCCCTTACTCCACGCAAAAGGCTGAGAGAAGAGATAGATCTTGAAGAGTCAGTAAACAGATGGCTAGCAAATTTGGATCTTCTTGAACTAGCTAGAGAGTTGAGATCCCTTTTCTGTCTCCAAATGTTTAAATCCGGGGGTTCTTTGCTTGAGTGCTGTAGTTTAGCTCATCCCTTTCTGGAACATGGGAAGAGGGGCAGTGTTTGAAATAATCAGGACCTACTTAGCGTATGTCTGCACTGCAATCTGGAGGAGTGATTGCAGTACATACAGACTATTTCTGTGCTAGTTTTGATATAGTTTGAGTACCTCTGGCAGTGGAGTGGCAGTTACACAGGGTGGCATATTCTTGTGATCAGTATCTATGCTGCCATGGCTTCATTGCTACTGTTACTTGCGCTAGCTTTGATCTCTCTCAAGGATAGGGAATCCTTTTTCAGTCAGGGGCCACTGACCCACAGAAAATCAGTTAGGAGCCATGCACAAGTGTGTGTGTACATGTGTGGGGGGGAACCACAGTCACCTCACTCAACTCAGGGTGCTAGGGCTCTGCTCACACGCTTGGAGACTTGTTGCAGGCCAGATCAAAGTAAGCCGGGGGACCTGGATGAGGCTTGCAGGCTATTGGTTCCCCACCCCTGATATAGCTAATCAAAGCTAGCTCTGGTATGTTTACCAGACATAGGAATTGCACCCACAAACAAGCAGGAAGAAAGGCTAGTAATGTACTGGATTTGTATTAATGAGTAAGCGATCAGGCCTTTTGTGGCTGCCTACAGGAACAATAAGGGATCTATTACTAGAAGCCAAATGGAATTCCCCTTTACTGTAAGGAGAAAAGGCCTGTGATTCTAGTGTTTGTCATAGTGTGATCTATATAGTAATTGTAAGCTAATTACACCAGTGTAACTCAGAGGTAATTCCAATTAAGGCAGTAGTATTGTACTAGCATTATTGCATGAGTATAAAACTGCTGCATGTTTAGAAGAGAACTGGACCCCATGTCCCTCATCTGCAGCACATGCTTTCGCTTCAGACTGGAGAAATTGAACAACACACTTTCTGTGATTACTATTGCCACCCAGGTGGGTAGCCACATGTTTTATCAGCTAAAGCTTCTGAGTAACCTTCAACAGTAGCCCCATGCAGAGCATATTGTATTAATCCATTCTGGAGGTCACGAAAGCACGGATAACTGTGCTGCAGTCCAGATCCAAGGGAAACAGTTGCAAATGCTTAGCCAGCTGCAGATGGAAAAATGTGCTTTTCATGTAGCCTGCTCAGAAGTCTGAATAATTTATTAGTATATCACAAGCTATTATTTGAAACTCTGCCACTTGTGAAGGAAATCATGTATGTTAAAGTATAAGCAGGACCCATTAACAAACTAGCTTCCAAATACCAAAAGCAGACAAACAATTGTGTGTCAGCCAACTATATGTATAGCGACTCCTACTGCATCATCTCCAAGGACTTCTTAGAGAAGCAACACATCACCATAATGAAAGAACATTTTTCTTTCCATTCATTGCTGTCCCTAACCATCTATAGTTTTGCCTTTCATGCTATTGAAATGGTGGCATGGTACTATTGATGCTCAATTCAAATGCAGCAAGTTATGTTTCAGAGGAGGATTGTGTCAGAAATCTGGACATGGAGGCCTTCAGGTAACCACTGGAAGCTAGATATTCTAAGACTACCTCAAGTACAGTACCTGCTGTCAGCCATTTTGATACTAGTTTATTTAGGGCTGCATGGTGTATTCATTCCTATGGCCTTGGTGGATTTAAATTGGGTTTATATTACAAGTGAAATCATGTCTCAGTCTCAGCCGCACTGGAAATTTTTGTCCATGGTATAGATGCTGCTCATCAGGAAGTAAAAACATTGGCAGAAGTTCATTAAGGAATCTTACCAATGAAGCCATGAGGAACCAAAGAGAGCAGGGGAGAGGGTGCTACAGAGCTTGTGAGGGTAGTACTGGGGCCCAGGCATTTCCTCCAAGATCCACAACAGATCGCAAGGCACCACAGTTTGTGGTTGGGAGAATAAAAAATAGGGGGTGGAGGGAAGCGGGTAAATTTTCCCTGTGTAATGATTTGGGGAAAACTCATTGAACAAGACTTCCTAAAATTTTGTTCTCGCAGGATCCTTTCTTACAGATTTTCCTACAAAGAGATTGCAACTTTCCCTGTCCTTTATTAAAGAGGGCACACAGAGGGTGATGGGAAAAAATACATGACTCATTGTGCCCTTTCATCTGTGCACCGCCAGAAGAGTCATGTACAATCTGGCCCACGGGGAGTCATTTGTAAAAACAAAAGCAACAAACCAACCTATCCCACACCAGAAACTTGTAGACTGGCATGAGAGAGAGGAAATACATTAAAAAAAACCTAAAATTGATTGTTAAAATTACATCTACTAACAACACATTCAATTAAACTGAGGTGGGGAACATATTTTTTGATCAGGGCCACTGACCCACAGAAGAATCAGTCGGGCCACACACAAGTGAGAAGCAAACCAAACAAAACAGAAACCCCAAAGACCTGGCTCCCAACTGGAAAAAAAGAAAATACAAGAAAAAGACACTCACCAGCAGCAGAGTGTGCTGGTACTTACACGCCAGCCTTGAGGGCACTGAGGGCTTAGAGTCTTGCTGTGGGGTGAATCTCCGAGCCTTGCTGTGGGCTGGATCAAAATAAGGCGGGTGTCAGATTTGCAGGTTTCCTACTCTTGCATTAAACATACAAAAACAAACAAACTAGTAGTGTAATTATTACCACCTTATGAAAAGGTGCTGCCATTTTAACTGACACTGCTTCAGAATAGAAAAAAAAGCAATTTCTTTCTGAATATCTGAAGGCAAGTCATTCCAATCAGTGTCTTAACTGCAAAATGTGCTGTAGGCTCCCTGACCTATTTTGGGTAATATTTAATATAACTGAAGATAATCATACTGTTCACAATTTAAAGGAGATGTTAGCACAGGCCAGTTTACTTTAGTGTTCCATCACATCCGCCAACTTCAACATTTAGCAATTTTTTCTGTACAAATAGAGGCAAGCTTTCAAAGCTTCCTAAAGGTGGCACCTACAAAATTTGCATGTGCACCAGCTGCATAAGCAAAAGCTGCATTTGAAACACATTTTTGCAGGGGTAAAATAGGCTATTGTGCTTCAGCATATCCATTCTGCACACAAAGTATTGGATGGTATATATAAATATAAAACTAGGTCCCACTTAACACCATTTTTACATAAATGTAAATGTGGATTTTTTTGGACTTACCTCAGTGTAAATCAGGCATAAGAGGCTAATCAAGCCCTTCACTTGCATAATGTACACGTACAGGTTTTACATGTGACTTGAGCACCAGTCTATGAAAATTTGACTCACAGTAGGCACAGTGTGACGTAAAGTCCATCTTAAAGCAAACTTTAGTTATATTTCAGATCTTCCTTCTTTTGCCTACTTCATTTGCTGTTGAGAGCCATATACAGTCTGGATGTGCATCTTTGAATGATATTAGTTGGAGTTTGTGCATGAGACAAAGGCAATAGGCAATACAATGATCCTTAAACAAGAAGTTTCTCACTGGGGGACACTTGAACACATCAGAAACAGAGCTATTAACAGAGCTATTAACTGTAAACCTTTACAAATATTTCTGTTTACAATACCAAGTTCACTAGCTCCTCTCAGCAGCTCAACTTTTCTTACTTCATCTTGAACGGAAGCCATCATGTGTATGCAACACTGCAATTGTTTTATGAAACTACAGTAAGGCCAAGAAAACATTTATGAGACACACGTGATATTATAAACATAAGGAATTAAAAATCATTGGCTAAATAAACATTTTAGTGTATAAATGTTCTCTTCCTTTGAATTTGCTACAGTGAAACAAGTCTGTCCTTAATGGCAGTGTGACATATGGTCTTGTTTTGTTCTCTCTTCAAAAGATCACAGAGGAAGGAGTTGGAAATGGTTTTCTGGATCACATGGGGGCAAATCCTGCTTCTGCTTCCTGTAACAGGAGAACTGGTTACTGCAAGTGGAAGAATAAGATATAAGTGACGGGGATGGGCTGCAGTTCACTAGGGATCCTTACCTGGTAGCATGCATGCAGGTGTGAGAGGGGCGAGAGGATTTTTGATTCTCTGCAGCAAGTTTGTGTAAGGGAAGGAGTTCCTTTACAGCTACTTTATGGACTGGGAAGGAGTTGATTTACAGCTTTACAGCCACTTGTATATCACCCTATTGCCCTGCTCAGTTGTTTAGGCTGGTGCTGGCTTGAGGATTGGGACCACAGTCCCATATGCAAATCTGCATTCAAATCTTGCAGCTGGCCCCTCCCTTTAGAATCGTCTCAATGAACAATCTCAGATAAGAATACCTTGATATATAGGGGCAGAGGGATTTTGTTTGAGCTCATCTGTAACCCAAACACTTATGAGACACACTGTTGGAGGTATGGACCTACTTCCACTACAGGGAGAAATCAGGAGTAAATCCATTGATGTCAATGTACTTACCTTCAGGGAAAGCCAGTGTGAATGAGATCAGCACCAGGCTGGTGTATTCAGTCAAGAATGCTGAAAAATCCTTTACCTCTACAGCCTTCCCAAGAAAGCCCTGCCTCAGGACCAGTGGAAAAAGCTTTTCATTTCCCACTTTCATTTCCCAGTCCTGTTATACAGTCAGGACTGTCAGTAGACAACATGGAAACAGCACTGCTTTGCAGGGCGTACAGCAGGATGGCTTGTCCAGAATGCAGCATCAGGTATGCTTCTGAGGCTAAGCAGCTATGAGTATATTTGCCTCTACATTCTTCACTGGGACTTCAAATTGGCTCTTTTGGCTTTTAAAGCCTCACACAAAGTCCTGGCTATGTGGTTGACATCTCACTCTTGAGCCCTGCTCAACATCCACTCTCATTGGTGAGGGGGCTCCATCATTACTTCTTGGGTCAGCAGACAATCATATTTTAGCTATGGAACTTGCTGCCCCTCAACATCCTGCTCAATTTACCTTTTTACACTTTTGTAAAACACACTGAGTCTCTTATTTCAAAATGTCAGGACCACTGACAGTGCCCTACTTCTTTCCTAGCTCTTTTCTCCTCTTCTTGGATGTGACTTTGTTTTAATTTGAATTTTAAGATTAAAAATGTCCTAATTCCATTGATTTTTTAAAAGCACCTAAGCACCTTGGTTGATCAAATGCGATCACATCTCTATTTACTGATAACATTAAAGTTTTTTAAAGTTACTGTTGAGGAGCTTCCCAGATGCCACGTCAAGATTTTATGTAGCCTAGGAGTTCCATATTTTGCTCATTATAAAGCACAAGAAACAAAAAATAGAACCATATTCTCCTACCAGTGAGCTTGGGGCTGGTCAGCCAAACAACAGTTTGGGAAATGGAAATACTTTCAGATAAGTTAACAAAGCTCACAATTTATCTGGAAAATGTATTTTGCTTTGATGAAAGATTTTTATGAAAGGTTAGACTATTTTCTTAAATTACAAAGCCAAATAGCAGGACAGAGTTAGCTGGTAGATTAAACGAGTATACAGCATGTACTGGTAGATTAAACGAGTACTGCATGTACTGTTCTTCCATTGCTCGTTCTTAAAACACTTCATGCACACCTGGTATGTGCAAAAGCATTGTGAAAAGCGAGCTTGGCTTTTGCAAAGATGACATTTTATAATGAAAACAGCAATGAAAAAAATCACGGTTTTCCTATATTCTGGCAACATTTGATTGACTAGCAAAAAAACATTTGGTCACAATTGAAATTTTAGGTACAATCCTGTTCCCACTGAAATCAATGGCAAAATCCCCATGCACTTTGAGGCTGTGTCTACATTGGCATGATTTTGTGCACAAAAACATGCTGCCTGTCTACACTGGCGGGGAGTTCTTGCGCAAGAACACTGACGTTTTAATGTGTGAAATCAGTGCTTCTTATGCAAGAACTATGATGCTCCTGCTCAGGAATAAGCCCTCTTGCGCAACTGTTCTTGCACAAGAGGCCAGTGTAGACAGGCAACATGAATTTCTTGCGCAAGAAAGCCCAATGGCTAAAATGGCCATCGGAGCTTTCTTGCGCAAGAGAGCGTCTACACTGGCACAGATGCTCTTGTGCAAAAGCACATCTCTTGCGCAAAGGCACATGCCAGTGTAGACGCTCTCTTGCGCAAATACTTTAACGCAAGAACTCCTGCGTTAAAGAGTATTTGTGAAAGATCATGCAAATGTAGACGTAGCCTGAGGGATTCAGGATTTCAGCTTTATATTTGTATCTCCTCTGTTATGGCCCTTGTGTCAAAGTCAGAATTTTGGTGTAACTTTACATAGCTTTTTCTTTGGAAAAGGTTCAGTGTTTCCTGAAAATTCTTGGCTGAAGGATTGTAAGGGAGGATATGCAGTGCTGAATAGAAGCAGCATGTTGATCTGTGAGGTGAGAGGGGGCCACAGATACTTGAGACAAAGATCACTGAAGATTATGAAAACATTCTCAGTGACTTCAATCAGCTTTAGGACGGGTCTCCGGTGTGGACACAAAACAAAACTTTACTTTAAAGCAGCAAAGTAAATTTTCTGCTTGTATTTAGGATTAAATTCTGGCCAATTTGAGATTGCTACAGTCCATAATTATGATCTACAAGCAATTCAAGGCTATTATAGAAACAGAAAAATAGGGAGGCTGTTTTTCCTCATTTGTTTCCACAGCATACAAGACAACAATAATAAAGGGAAACAACTTGTATTTATTATTATGGCTATGATGCTTGTAATAAATTATGGAAGAAAAAGACTTAGGAGTAATTGACTGAAAAACAAATGTTGGTTAAAGTAAACACAGCCGATTCCACTGAACCTATTTGCAAAAATGTCAAAGGAGTTGAGTTGTTTTCCTTCACAATATTTGTATGGGTATAAAGGGACTGTGGTTTAATTAAATTTTCCCACAGAGAACAGGTATTCCACTAGATGTCACTTTGAGACCCTGCTAAGAAGAAGGATGGCAAGCTGATTAAAAGATGCAGCATCCCCCATTGTGAAGACTAATGGGCAGAAAGATGGTTCTGTTTTCTCTTGCCACATAAGTAGCAGTCAGTCAGGGATATGGTACTAGGGTACATTAGTCATACCAAAGCTGATTTACTGGAGAATAAAAGTCTTCCAGGAATAAAGTTGCAATTCAGAAATGTGCAAAGGGGCTGTCCCCTAATATGGATCGTTTAACTTAGGCAAGCTTTCTAAATTACTGTAAAGGGATCATATCATCTGAATCTACAATCTTTAGTTGCAATTCACTGCCATGATCCCTGCATGAAGCCCAATGACTCAAGTGTTGTTCAGGGAACTTCATGAGAGTTGGGGAAGAGAAGATAAAATTCACTCTGTAAATCACAAGCAGGCTATGGTATTTCAGGCCTCTGTGTGGCATTCATGGGTCACTCCCATTTAAGCATTGAGCCAGTAGCCTTCCTGCACTCATCCGCCCCCTTTGTATTTTTGATGGATACTATGTACAGATGTGACCGCCTAATCTCAAAAAAAATATCTTGGTATTGAAAAATGTTCAAAAAAGGGCAACAAAAATGATTAAGGGCTTGGAACTTGTCTCATATGAAAAGAGATTAAAAAGTGCTTTGAAAAGAGGAGACTAAGGTGGTGGGAGAGATATAATAGAGATCTATAAAATCATGATTAGTGTGGAAAAAGTGAATAAGGAAAAGTTAGTTATTGTCTTGTTCCCATAACATAAGAACTAGGGGACACCAAATGAAATTAATAGGTAGCAGGTTTAAAACAAACAAAAGGAAGTTTTTCTTCATGCAGCACAGAGTCATCACAGAGGATGATGTGAAGACCGGGACTTTAGCAGGGTAAAAAAAACCTAAATAAATTCATGGAAGTTAGGCCCATCAATGGCTAATAGCCAGGATGGGTAGGAATGATGTCCCTTGCCTCTGTTTGTCAGAAGCTGGAAATGGATGACAGGAGAGGGATCATGTGATGATTACCTGTTCTGTTCACTTCTCCTCTGGCATTGGTCACTGTTGGGAGACAGTTACTGGGCTAGATGTACTTTTGGTCTGACCCAGTATGGCTGTTCTTATGTTCTTTTCATTTGTACCAGCTGCAAAACAGCCCTTTTCATCATGCAGGAGACGTATGACCCTCATATGGAAACTGTGACAATCCTGCCCCTGCAGAGAGAGGTGTGGTAGGAGCAGACGATCTGTAAATACAGATGGAGGGATTCAGGTCTTAAACATCAAATGATACAAAAAACATTAGCAATAATGGTTTCCTTAAGTGACATTTTTGGGCTTTGAAGGGGAAAGGGAAATACAATTATCTTCTTTTCAAATCAGGTGGAAGGTGAATAGAATGAGATTGACATTTGCCAATGAAGCAATGAATGAGTCTTCATAATACCAAAAAATCCACCTCTTTCAGGCCAGTCCAGAAAGGCTTGATATTTAATAAGAAAAAAAATTCTGGCACATGTATTGCTATGTTTGGAGCAGGACCTCTGCATACACCTACACTCAGCTGTTGTAGTCACACAGAATCACCAGCTGGGACTGAAATGTCTAAGAAATGTTAAAAAAAAAATCAGAAGAGTGCAAAGCAAGGAATATGCCTGAGCATTAAACATCCAGTCACTGCCAACCATGCCTCTTTCCAAAGCTTCAGCAATCTGCATTCTGTTTGTGTTATAAACAAGCAGCAGCTTTTGCACCTCTGCACATTTGTTTACCAAACAGATGAAAACAATGGAGCTCAATTAAAAGTAGATTAGCCACACATGCACCAAAGGAATGTGTACTTAACTGACTATGGTGAATCTGGATGCCGTGAAATCCCTCATGAAGCTGTTCTGGCATGTCCCTGTGGGTTTTATTGGTATCACATCCAGACTCAGGGTTCTTATGGATCCTCTGGAATATGTTAAATTGATCATAATAACCGAAGGGCAGATGTTGCAATAAGCACAAGTTTGCTGCAACTGTGCAGATGGGTTGGTTGATTATCATGGGCATGGAAGCATCATTTGATGGGCTCTTTTCCATTAGTGTTTGGCAGTGCACCATATGTGCCACTGATCTTGTTGGCAACTCCCTTCCTGGTGTTGAAAGTAAAGCTTTGACATGAGGGAATGAATGATATAGTCAGTTGTGCAACCCCATGAAGAACATATCTGAAGGAGTTTCCTTTTTTTGACTTTTGAAAAAAAATAAAGCAAAAGCTGGAAACATGGGAAATGGATGAACAGAGCAGAACAACAAAAAGGGTTAAAGGTCTTGAAAGCCTGACAGGTGAGGCAAGACTGAAAAAAAGGGGGGAGGGTTATTTAGTCCGGGAAAAAAGAAGACAGAGAAGATGATAACTGGTTTCAAGCACATAAAAGGCTGTTACAAGGAGGAGAGACAAAAATTGTTCTTCTTAATCTTTGAGGATAGGACACAAAGCAAGGGAGTTGTAGGTAGGACTTTAGGAATAACTTCCAAACTGTTAGGGTAGTTAAGCACTGGAATAAATTGCTTAGGAAGGTTGTGGACCAGGGGCAGATACAGGGAATTTCCTGGTGGGCCATCGTCCGGTGGGCCGTCATGTCCACACGCCATTGCCCCTCACTCCAAGAGGCCTGTGCAGTGTGCCGAACATGATGTAGGGGCCAGGGCTTGAGGGGCACGCAGGGGGACGTCATGGAGAGGGCCATTCTCAATCCATTTCTTGGGCCTATTTTGATTGCTAGTACGCTCCTGTTGTGGACTCTCCATCATCGGAAATTTAAGAGCAGGTTAGACAAGCATCCGTCAGGAATGGTCTAGTTCCGTGGTCACCAACCAGTAGATCGCGATCTACCGGTAGATCTCAGGGGCTCCAAGAGTAGCTCTTGAACCCTCTCTGAATTGCGCGCCTGCGTAGTACATTTACATTAGATTTCCTCATTTAAGGAGCAGCGACTCACCGAGCAACAACACAGGTGAGTAGCTGCGCGGAATGGTGGGAGCTGGAAGGTCGGGAGGGCTGAAATACCTCGGCCAGCTGACTGTGGCTTTCAGCAGAAAGAGGCTGCCCTGCGCTCCAGCTGATCGGCGGCTTCTCCTCTGCGCCTGCCCACGTGGAGCTTGGTGCACCCTGGCTGAGCGCTATGGCCAGCTGGTCAGGCAGCCACTTCTCTTCCCTCCAGCCCGGCTGCCCTGTGCTCAGTCCAGGGAGGCTGCGTCTAGCTCCAGCTGTGCTGGGGCAAGCTTCCCAGGCGGAGCGCAGGATCACAGATGCCCATCTGATGGACTGTATACGACTAGCACTCTCAGACTACAACCCAGACTTCAAGACACTGGCAGATACTGTTCAGTCACAGGTGTCACACTGAGACTTTGTTATTGGAAGAAAAAAATATATAATTATCAATACTTGATTT